CTAATGCTGGAGAACCGCTACTAGAATGTAGAACAACATCCAAGTGGCCATAACCATGGGTGCGACGTGTTGCTGCCTTGGGCACCCAAATCCCTTTCGACTCCTGGGGCCATGGGCAGCCGTTCAATTTGAGGCATGACTTGGCGACTCAAAGAAATCAGTTTCCGCAGTGACAAAAGAACGCAAAGCCCACTTTGTTTGGCGATTGGAGTTCAGGGTGCAGCTTGAAAAGCTCCAAGCTCTATACCCTTACCCCAATATACTATAGTAGCTTCCATGTTTCCATTGTCCCTATATGACCCGAATATACTATAGTAGTTACTCTGCAAGCCAGCCACAATCCTGGTGGCAACCCTCCCCCTTCTCAGACTAATGACCATACATAAGCCCTCTGAATTTCAATATGTTGTTCTCAGACCGGCCAAATTGCTTGTAGAATAGCGCAGGAATCTGCAGAAAGCAGAAGGCACCTTTGATACCTGAGTATTATCATTCCTATTTCTATACAAACAGCTATTAGTGCTATTATTATAATCACTCTTACTGCTACTATTCTTATTCGCATTTTGAAAAGGTTGTGTAAGGTCTTTACAGCATAGTGCCCCTCGTCCTCCAGCCCACATCCCTGCGGTACAGAAGGCTTGAAACTTCCCTGGAAGAGCAGCTGGGCAAAGCAGGCATCTTCACTTCCTAAATATGGGGTTTAGGGTTAGGGGGACCCCAATATAAACCCAAAATACTATAGCCCTTAGAGTTAAGATACGACATGCTGGCATTGAGGGCTCGGGGTTTCATTTGTTCAGGCATTCGGCGGTATACTGGAGGCTAGGATAACATGTATGTATGTCATATATATATATATGTGTATACATGTGTGTATATATGTGTTGGAATTACGTACATCCACATCATGCAGGAACTAGACAGAATTTGTTGCTGGATTTATCTGACTGTATTTGGAGGGGCTACTTGGCAAATTCGGAGCATCAGGGGCCTCAAAGAAACTACACAACTGTCTACGAGTATAGGAATTCTAAAGGTAGGTAGCGCTTTCGGCAGAAGCACGCCCAGCTTTGACAACCCAAGCTTGGCGACGTTGTAGGGGTGAATCCTTCCAGTGAAGAAACAGCACTTGTAAGAGGAATAGCAGGAACAATGACCCTGCTGGATAATCAAACCCGCACCTGGAGGTCCCGCTTCTTCGAGTGGAGGGTTGTTTGTCAAGGATGTGGTCTAATGGCGCAGAAGCATGGTTCGCTCAAATTAATTCTTAATAGAGGTGGGGAGTTGAACTCTGCATTAGTAAGCTGATCCTGCATTCTTTCGGTTTTTGGCTTCGGAAATTGAGCTGTTGAATTGCCCTCCTCGTCCCTACAGCTTTTTGCCATGTTAAGGAATTATTCCACACATGCCATACCCCCCAGGCAAATCAATCCCCAAAATAGGGCAGCAACCCACTTCCCAGCTTCAGGATCTGTCAGAAGTCCCTTCTGTCCAGCCAGCACCATCAGAACGAACACCCCAGCCCCCAGTACCAAAAATCCTTGCCATGAACCCAAGTACATTGGATGCCATATGGGAGTTTCCCAAAATAGGGGTACCCTTTTGGGGGTCCCTATAATAAGGACTATAGTATTTGGGGGTCTATATTGGGGTAACCTAATTTTGGGAAACTACCATATCAAGCGTTGTTGGATCGGGGGTGTTCAACAGAAGGGATAAGGAATTTCTTCTGGCTGAAGCGTCCCAGGCCAGTACCGGGTGAAGAAGTAGTACATAGCTGTCCTTGACACGATTTTCTTGCTGTAGTCAGCAAGGCTGGGCAAGCAAGGAGTATATGTTTGAACAGTGCCCTTGCTGTTCGTGAGGGGCACCGCATTGGTGTTTCTCCAAATCTCCCCAATGGAACCCCGGCCCAAAATTCGCTGAAGAAACCTCCTGATACCTGGGACCCATGGCCCCCTGGTCCCCCATCTTGAAAATGACCCACATGGTTGCTACATACTCTCAAGCCCAGAAGCCACGTGAGGAGTATGTTTAATGGGGATACTTGTTTCAGTCCCCAGTAAAAGCATGATTATATTCTTCTTTTCAGCATAGTGTCTATGAGAAGAATATGAATTTACTTGGTTCGACCACCAAAGCACAACCCTTACGTGAAGGTAATCTGACCACGGCGCTCTCAGCGCTCAGGACAGAGAGCAGGCAGGTTGTTGGCATAGAAACCCTCTGAAATTCAGGAGTCTACCTCCAATGCACTTTCCTTCGCAAGCAACACGCAGTTCCCGGAGCCTTGGGAAGTGCCATAATCCAAACTCCAAGTATTCCCAAGATATACCTCTATAGTACTTGCCTATATAATCCCCTATATACCTTATTTAAGGAGTTAAGACTATAGCTCATATGGTTTGAGGATGACTTTA